ATAAATTAAGTTACTATTCAAATAAATATTTATTAAAATTACATTTTTCTTACTGTAAGAACTTATCGTATATTATAATATGACGCTATGCTTATCTTAGTGTCGAGACACTACCGTGTCTCTAGACACTTTTGCATATTTTCCTATGCGATATTTTTTTTAATACGGCCTCTGGGTCTTTTTTAGCACAAACAAAATTTTATTCTAAGTTTCTCTATATAAAGAAGAAAAAAAAAGAAATAAATCGAAAAAATATTTGGTATTTAATATGTAAAAATACATATTTAAAAATAACTCAGAATTTTTCCACATTTTTTTGAAAATGCCTAGAATAAAAAATCTGAACTGGACAAAAAAGATTGCCAACGGAGGGTGAAAAAATATGATTAGAGATGGAATAAGATTAACATTTATTATAAAATATAATAATAATTTAAAAATCAAATTGGCTTACATGTGAATTTTATATCGTAACAAGCGTAACCTTAAAATCTCATTTTTCAGACTTTTTTTTATGATAAATACATCAGAATTTATCTTTGCAGCTGATATTAAATCACGGGCTTTAACTTAAATGAGTTCTAACACCATTCTGAACGATAAACGAACAAATAGAAGCTATTATGTTCACAATGTACAAAGAATAATAAAAGCTATTATACATTTTAATGCATGATATGTGTTACTCGCTATCGTGCATGTAAAGCAGATATTATTTGTACGAAGATTTATTTTATATATTCCTTCAAGTACTCATCTAACTTTCACATCACATACAGTCAATTTGTTAAGTTAAACGAAGAAAATAGACATCAGTCAGAAATGTAATGTTTCTGTCAAAAGATAAGACATGATAACAATGCTTATCACATAAGATATCACGGGCATATGAAGCTGGCGTATCATTGAGATACAGATATCGCCAAATAAAAACACATTAATAAAAGAAATCTTAGTTGAGGTCGATTTTTAGCTTTTTAAATTAAAAAAATAAAATAAAAAAATTGGGCTCAGCCGGGATTTGAACCCGGGACCTCTCGCACCCAAAGCGAGAATCATACCCCTAGACCACTGAGCCGTTCTTGGAATGTGAGGTTTACTTAATGACATCATGAAATGTGCAATAAATTTCTTTTATACGTAAATATAAAATTTTTATTTTCTCATTTAATCATAAATATATAATTATAAATAAATATATAATTATAAAATATATAAATGCCTAATTAAAATATTAAATTTGGTTAACATTGTGTTAATTAAGATTAATGCATAAGTGTTTAATTTGAGAAAAAGCACAAATTTAATTATAATTATTACGAAACTAATTTTACGAGATTTGCACGATGTTCTTTCAAGATTTTATCTTCATTATGTCATAAAAGATTGTTATTACCTTTTACAAGACATGAAAGCCATTATAGTGGCGTTGAAATAATGTCATATTTTGAGGCAAAGAATATAATAAAAAATAATAAATTATAACAAATCTCATTCAAGAAAAAAAATCTCAAAAATAAATTTCCATCCCTTAAAGGTTAATAAAAGCAGGAGAAGTTTAATATATTTGTTTATCATACCAAAAATAAATTAATGAATTACCACGTCAGAAGGAAAATATTCCCTTTTCAACGACAAATTACACTGCAGATACAAGCCCGACCGTCATTTGGCCGCGGCATTTATCACAATTAGCGCCACAAAATAGCCACTTAATTTCAGTACGGGATTCTTCCCTCTTTCTCTCCGTGAAAAAAAAGAAAGCAATACCTTCGTTTACCGGCGACAAAAAGAGCCGGCCCTTGTACCTTTGTTTCGCCGCAGTTAACTCGCTCGTAACGTGTCGTCACCCTTCCGGCAAAAACGTGCTATGGAAACGCGTCGCGACGACCCTTATACAAGCTGAAGGGTCGGAGAAGATTTGTGGTCGCGTTGGGTGGACCGCATAGGAAACTCAAAGGGACGGAATCCCAATCTCCTTCCATTGACGTGCGGTCAGACAGTCGATTTTGAATAGACTTCTCTAAAGCGAAAATCAAGAAGGCGCGTTTCAATTGTTCGTTCGAATGATGCCGACGATATAGAACTACGGACAATCTTAAAGGTTGTTGACTGACAACTTCGAAAACACGTGTATCACGCGGTATAATAACTTGGCAGGTGCTACAGTCGCGGTTATAATATCGCTTTGAAGGAATACTTAGTAGAAAGTGTGATATTTTTTGCCGTAATTAATAGATTCTATATTAATACAATTATATTTGTGCAATCTAATATAGTAATCATCTCTCTTATTCTAAAATAATTTACTTAACTCAAATGCATATTTCATTCACTCGATATAGTACATAACATAGTTTATTACATCATTTGTGTTAAAATTGTATTTTATAATTTCAGTATTTCTAAATATACTTAAATGTGTAGTTTAGATTATCTACTTTTTGTCAGAATAATGACATGTAATGATAAATAATTGCAGGATTCGAAAGTGCATTCATATATAAAACATGTATTGTTAAAAACATTTGTGTATTAAAATGCATGATGCACTTACAATTATAAATAAAATCTATATTATTTGATGCAAATTATTCACAAAAGTTATCTTTATAAAAAATTCGCTTGATATCATTTATTTTTTCAGAATATTTAACATATAATATGACAAATAATTAAAAAATCAGAAATTCATACATATATAATATATGAATATATTTAAAGGTACAATGTATATAGAAAATGAATATATATATATATATATTCATTTTTGATATATTATATACATATGAATTCTAAAGATTATTTCAGAGCTAATAATCTATCTCTGCAAAGTATTCTCGTAATGCAACAAACAATTGAAGGATAAGATACGAATACATATATGAAATCTAAAAATATATGTACCAACATAAAACTTATACAAAATTACATATCTATAGAATTTCGATAGCTGATGATGCAATCTTTTAAAATGAATTTTACAAAGTTTACTTCAGAGCTAATAACTCCTTGTCAGAATAGTTAGTATCCATATTTTTTAATGTGACAAATGATAGAAAGATGAGAAAATGCACACGTAAATGGAATATTTAAAGAAATCGCATATCAAATGCATAAAATTACAAGATTCTGTTTCAATGACAATTATAGATTTCTTAAAGCAAACTTCGTAAAGTTAATTTCAGATTTATTTTTATGTAATGTCAAATTATTATTATGTGCTAAATTATTAATATGATAAATATTTAAGCTTCTTTTAATTGTAGAAAAAATAAAAGAAAGTGGATAGCCATTATTTAAAAATACAGTCATGTGCAAAACTATTAGGCACTTATCATTTTTTCGCATTTTACGAAAAGTTAAATATCTCGGCGAAAAGAAATCTCAGAGATTTTCGCATTTTAAAGCGTAAAGATAGGACTTTAAATCTACGTTTGAATCTTTTGTCTACGATATTATGTTTCTAAGTTACATAAAATTGAAAAATAATATCTTTGCAATGTTTTTGTCTTATTTTAAAGTGCTACAGTTTAATAAAACATCAACAAATTTAATATGAAAGTAACCTAAAGTAGATTTTTTTCTCTTTTGTCTTTTTTCTGTATATTTTTTAATTTCAAAATTAAAAAACATTTTAGAAAAAGTAAATTTTTACACAATGAAATTTCATACAATATAATAAAAAATACAATATTTTTGCGAAAAATTATCAAATTTTTTTCAAAAAACATTTTAAAGCTTAGAAAGCTTATTTTAAGATACTTTTATATCAAATTTTGTTTACTGAAACAAAAGATTTAAACGCAGATTTAAAACCTCATCTTCATGCTTTAAAATGCGTGGTAGAAAATCTCTTTAAGATTTCTTTTCTCCGAGATATTTAACTTTTCATCAAATGCGAGAAAATAGTCAAAAGCGCCCCTTACTTTTGCACAAACTTATACTTTTGCCTTACTTATGAGTAGCATTGGTTAAATTATTTTGATGAAACCGAAGAAGGGACAATCAAATTATTTTGTCCACAAAACCAAAGATTATGCCTCTTTTTTAACAAAGCGGGTGATGTGAATAAAAAATCCAGAAAAAGTTTCTTTTTTACTTCCAAATATAAACTTTACGAAGTCGACTTCGAAAAAAGAAACTTTTTCTTGGAAGTAAGATAATCTATCCTAATCAGAGAAATGCCAGGTAATATATGGCATTGAATCATGAGCAGAATACACATGAAGTTATGCTGATAACAAATATGTTCACTTACCAATCGATGTACCGTTTCTGCAACTCGATGAGCTCCTTCCTTGATAGCTCCATTGATAGATACTGCGCTCAGATGGATACTGCATCATGCCAAACACTCCATCGCACTAATATAACAAAAAATTAAAGAATTAAAAATACATACGTATATATAAAATATACATTTTTAAAAACATGTATTAAAATGTACGGTACACAGAATTATAAATAAATTCTATTTTAAGGTTTGAATTATAAATTCTTTAAAATAAAACTTCTCTAGAGTGAATTTTCTAAAAACTCTATTTCAACAATGTGACAAATCATATAAAAAAATGCATGTCACACTATAATAAGTATTGAAGCATGATGAATAGAAACATAAAATTACATCAATATAACAAATATATTACACCAGTCGATGTATTCACCTTAAAAATTTGATAGGGTCGTTCCACTGCTCCACTGCTCCATCGCACTAATATAACAAAAAAATTGAAAACTAAATACATATATAAAATGTACATTTAGAGGTATGTATCAAAAATATACACATAGAATTATAAATAAAATTCTATTTCGAAGTTTGAATTATTATGTAAAGTTAGCTTTCTAAAGACTATATTTCAACAATGTGTCAACCACAAAATGCATGTTACATCGCTATAATGATGCAGTATTGAATCATGACGAACAGAATATATAAAATTACATCAATATAACAAATATAATAACTTACCAGTCGATATATTCTTTACAATTTAATGAGTTCCTCCTGGATTGCTCCACTGCTCCAAATGTTTCATCGCACTAATACGACAAAAAAATTGAAGAATTATAAATACAAATTAATAAATCATAAAATGACATTGAACCGTAAAAAACTGATTAATATTCTTAGTAATGATTTTGACATCATTTCTATGACATGATGATTTATATTCTGCTTGAGATGTATAAATATACATTTAAATCGTATCAAAATGCACGATATACAAAATTATAAATGCAATTTATGCAATTCTATTTTGAATTATATGTTAAATTCTCTAAAATGAAATTGGGTTAAATTTTGTAAAAACTATTTCAACGTGTCAGGCCATGTAAAATGTATGAACATCGCTATGATAATGAAGTATTAAATGACAAACAATGAAAAATTACAGCAATATACAAAAAAAATATTCATTTACCTGTCGATGTACCGCCTCGATGAACTCCCTTGACTGCTCCATTATTCTTAGATACTTCATCGTCCAAGACGCTCCATCGCACGAATTAGCACAACACAATTACCGCCCGATTACCTCACATAACACTCCCGACGCGTTTATTTTATCTCACGATGCACCGAGAACGCGTAAACAACACGAAGTGTAACCTCCACGTCAAGTTATCAAGATTTATCGCCAAATTATCGATCGAATTCTATCACCCTCGCGTCGCAGGACGAGTAATTAATGTGACACAGCAAACGGTTTATCCGCGCTATCCGCGCTTTTGTCGTCGACATCATCATTCGTGAGTGCCACATAACCAATGTGAAACATCCGATTGTCCATCATCGATTGATTTCGCCATGATTTGTGCACTTGTGACAGATTCGCGACAAATAATTAACGTCTTCCCGCATTCCTCACCGTAAACCGAGTTCACGATAAACCGACACAGACGCGACGCATAAACATGACAGTTGTTTATTATCTCGCGATTTCGTCGAATTTAGTGACACCCCGCGCACCGAATATCACGCTCGTGATGTATTCAAGAGTTAACACAACACAACTCACAATAAAAACCGACATTTCCGATGCTTTTTGCGTTCGAAGTACGCTCAAAACGAACAACGCGAAATGGCGATTCCCTTCCTCCTCTTCCCCGCTTCGTCGAGTGATATTGCCGATTCGGCTCGCGCTAACTTTACGACACAGAGTTCTTCACGAACATTATAGGTCTGTTTTTTATTGCTGCACAAACAAATGTATATTTGTTTCACTTCAACTTATTGCACTGTGTGTACTAGTTCAGAAAGTGCAGCAATAAAAAACAGACCTCTTAACGCGCGGGAATTTGACCGATTTTAAAATCGCCAATAAGATCGATCAAATTCCCGCGCAATTCGTGAATCCTGTATCGTCGTGAAGTTAGCGCGAGTATCGGCAACATCATTCGACACAGCGGGGGGTCGCCATTTCGCGTTGCTTGTTTCGATCGTATTTTGGGCGTACTTTGAATGCAAAAACCATCAGAATGTCAGCTTCTATTGCAGATAGTTGTATCACGTTAATTACTTGTTTCAAGTACTCGCGACTGAGATATTCGGCGCGTGGAGTGCTTGCTAAAGTTCGATGAAATTGCGAGACAATAAACGACCGACATGTTTACGCGTCGCGTTCACATCGGTAGTGTTGATCGTTAGCTCGATGAGAAATACGGGAGAGTCGAATAAGACAACGGATGATCGTGTTCCGTGTTACTTGTCAATCTGTTACGAGTACACGAATCAAGTCGGCGGAAAACGACGGTGGGTGGACTATCGGATGTTTCACCTTGGTTATGTGACATTCGCAAATGATGACACCAATCACTTACGGTTTATTAACGTTTTTAGCATTATCATGACTTATTAATTTACTTAGGTACGTATGCATTGCTAATTCTTCAATTTTTTGTCATATTAGTGCGATTTGGAGCAGTGAAGCAGTCAAGAAAAGAACTCGTCGAGTTGCAGATACATCGACTGGTAAGTTAATATATTTATAATATTATATATTGATGTAATTTTATACATTCTGCTTGTCGTGATTCAATATTGTATCATTTGTAGTGATATAACATGTATTTTATTAATATATTGTTTGACATATTAATATGTTGAAATAAAGTCTTTAGAGAAGGAAGCTCATTTTAGATGTATACAATAATATATATATAATTCAGACTTCAAAATACAATTTTATTTATAATTCTATGTGCGGGGCATTTTGATACATATGTATCTTTAAATACATATTTTATACATGTATTTATTTTGAATTTTTTAACTTTTTGTTATATTAGTGTGCTGAACTATTTTGAAGCAGTGGAACAGTCACAAGGGAGAAGCTTATCGAATTGCAGAGGCAGTACATCGACCGGTAAGTGAATATATTTGTTGTATATCGGCGTGACTTCATGTATATTCTGCTCGTCATAATTCAATACTGTAAATTACATGGCGTTTCTCTGACTGGAATAGTTTATTTGAAATTGACTCTATAAAATTTATTTAGAGAGAGAAAATGTATGAATTAGAGTATTCTATTTATAATTTTATACTGTTAAAAAAATATTAATTTTAACTTAAAGATGTATAATGGACTTTCTGAGACATGCAATAATGTTAAAATTAACATTTTTGCATGTCAGAAAATCCATTATACGTCTTTAAGTTAAAATTAACGTTTTATTTTTAACAGTGTATGTAAGATGCAAATGATACATAAATAAATATGATGTGTTATATAAAATATGATAAATAAATATATTGACATATAAGAAAAAGACATTGTTCCTATATATACACAGCAATTATTACGAAGAATATTACTAAGATCTCGATAGTCTATGAAAGGCTTCAGACGCTCGCACGGAATGCAGGAGATTCGACTTCCGGCCGAGGTAATATTTTTCGCAATAAGAATTAATTATTTACAGATTTTAATATGTCGTTCAACATTATTAAAGATGCGAAGTTTAAGATGCAAAGAAGCATCAAATTATTAAACTGCTAGTAGTCAATTTAACTCCTAATATTGCTGCTAGTTTAGTAGAGATTGCGTTTTAAGACCGAAAAATCATTTCAACACGCAGCTTAAAGGAGCAATATTACATACGTAGTATCCATATAAATTCACCTAGAATTATACAAGCACTTAAGATCCAGCTTAGAGCGTTAAAGACATTTATCTCTATTGGTCAATTGAGGATTGTGTCTTCACATATACGATCGAATGAGACTCAATATTTAAAATTGATATAATATAAATGTTTTCAAATATATGTATATCTTCTATATATTTCTGATTTTCTTTAACTGATGTTTATCTTTTGACATTACATAGTGAAAATGAAAAAGTCAAATTTTTTAAATTAACTTTATGAAGTTTATTTTAAGAGAAAGCTGTAATTTATTGTTAGAGTAAAATTTTTGAACTTTTATATATTTATTGCTATATAAGTATTATCTTTGAATATATTCCATTTATGCATGCATTTTTTATTCTTCTATCGTTTGTCAGAACCTATTGTGAATGGGGGTTGTGTATAAGTTAAAGTTGATAAGTTACATTAGAATTTTATTTATTAACAAACATTTATGAAATAATGCTATTGCTAAGATATTTTTATATTCACAAGCAATGTATAATACTTTTTAATTGTAAATTATCATTTGATAAATACAATAACTGAACATACATGTTTATGTATGTATGATATGTATTAACGTAATAAATTGTTGTATACAGATACAAATTTATACATATTTAATTATTCATCAAATTACGATTCACAATTAAAGTTAATGATACAATATCAAAGTATGTTAGTAACATCATTATTTTAATTTGATTACTATTGGCGAATATTATATCTGGATCATTATTATTCTTAACTCTGTATATCTGATTACATTACATATTATATCATATTAAGCATCGTTCGTTAAGCTATAGTTTCGAATTTGAGCGATCATTGTGAGCAATTGCTGTGTACGTTTTTTTATAAACATACATATAATCTTCAGATAAGCTCGGAACATTCATCGGTTAATTTTCAACGAGATAATCCACGATGACGATTCTCGATTATCTTCGCCCCTCATTCCACGCCTTTTAACGCGCCTCGATACTGATCTAGCTAGTCACACGAGATGCGTTTCTCCTCGCGGTTTTTCCGAGAAGGAGTTTTCGTAAAATCGACCCGCCAGTTCTCGCCGAGTCAGCGCGCTAATCCTTATTTAACCCGGAGTTTATCGGCCGCATCGAGGTACGCAGGATTAACTTAGACGCGCGCCAGCACAATGGGACGCACGAGGGGACACCACTTAACGCACCTTCGGTCTCTTCTATCTCGATGCTGAGAACGATAGAGATCGTGAACGAGAGTTGTCAGTGCTTTTGCCCTGCTTTTTACCTGTGGATCGCTCGATGAAACTTTTTCGCTTTTTTTTTTTCGTTTTGTAATGGAAATTGAGTGAGGAATTCTGGTTCGACTCACTGGGATGTACCTCTTCGATTGATGCATCCAAGATGCGATTCAATCCATAGCATTGGAGATAAATTAAAACGTCGAGCGCCGCGACGTTTCTCGTTTCGCGAAGATGTATTCTACTAGATATTTCCGATGATATAAAATGTTCTTTACAATTGCTAACGTCAGCGAATAAGATATTATTGTATAATATTATCCATGTTTCCTAAAAGGATAAATATACGTTACGATTCCACGTAACATCTATGCTTTCTAAAAGAAACTTTATATGAAAAATTATATTTCTGGATGTCAAATTTTCTTTTAACTGTTCAGATAATTTTGAGGAAATATAAGGTAGATATTTTTACGTTGCAAACATAAATCGTACATCATTCTGTTTCGTATTCTTATTTTGATATTTATTCTTATTTGATTTGTTCTGATAAGATATAATGTGTCTAAATTTAGATTTTTAAGAATGATAAATGAGCGCACTAATAATATTATTATAACTATAATTGATATAATAACGCAGTTAGTACTCATTTATCCTCAACGAGGATTTTATTACTACC